AAAAAGAACGAAAAAAAGTGGTGCCCTTTTTAAATGAAACGATCCTTTCCTACAATGAAAATCTGTATGGCCACAACAGTGCTGATCTCAGAAAGTTTGATATAAACATAGACAAAATAAGGGAGACAAGCCAAAGCAAATGGACAATAGAATTTCTGAAGTAGTTTCCACTTCCCCCCTTCCTACGAAATATATTTCACCAGGAGTGTTTGTCACAGTGAGAGCAGTGTGTACACATGTGTTGTCATTTTTTGCCTCAACCCGGGGTTCTTCCTGGAATATTTGTGACTCATGAGGGAATTTGGATCCAAAGTCGAAGCCCACTGAGTGAGCCAATGGCCGGGGTCAAGGTTTTTGGCTGGTGGAATGTCCCCAGCGACGGTAGTAAAAACCGGAGCTTCTTATTTGTTCCTCACTTAGCCCAACAAACTCTTACATTCGGACCCAAACAACTAAAAAAAAAAGAAAAACGGTTCTCCTGAATAACTGGCTCGTCTCACGCAACACGTGCCTGGATGGATCCCGTGCGTGTGTGTCTGTGTGAGCACAGAGCTTCCAGTCATTTGCATCTTGTTAGTTTTTCTAATTGTCTGTGTAAGCATTGCGCCATCTTGGACTTGATGCTGTGGTTCATTTTCCCGAGCCTTGACAAGGCAAATTTAGGAGTGTTTAGACAGCCTTTCAGCTGGCTCGACTTGTGTTTCTCTCTTTCAGCGGGTTCATCAGAAAAAGGCGCCCCCCCCCCCCCCTCCCTGCCCCACACACACACACAAACACACACACAGACAAACATCAACACACATAAGATGCTGGTGCTACAATCAGTCATGGCCTCTATTTATAGAAGCAATTAGAGGACTTTTAAATGATGATGGCTGTAATATTTCAGCAGTGTGTGTGTGTCTGTGTGTGTGTGTGTGTGTGTGAATAAGACTTGGCTCCAGTTTTATGATGCACTGCACAGTCAAACAGTAGCGATGCTCTCTGTGGAGAAGTTGCCATACAGGTCTGTTTAGCCCCAGGCCTCATGTATGTAGAGACATATTACTCCTCTACATCACGGAGACTCTTGTGTCTGCTTGCCAACTAAAACAGAGAAGTGGAAACAATTGAGTTTACATCTCGACCTTCACTCTCTGTGATCCCATTTGCTTTGTCATAATATCACTTCCCTTTTGCTTCAGCATCTCGACGCACAAACAGGGCCTTTGTTTATGTTCTGTCCAGAAATCGAATTTTTCACTGGCTTTTCCGCTCGCGCTCCCCCACAAACATCGCTCACTCCCATAATCTCCTTTGAAAGATGAATATTTGTAATTCCTTCCCAGCCTTCCAACAAAAGTACTTTTCATGGATGCTGTTTTGTCAACAGACAGAGAGACTCTCTCTAAGTCGATTCATCCCCTGACATGTAATCACGTCACAAGGGAAACAAAACATTGTCATCCAAAACAATATGGGAAAGATTACAAATTGCAGTTCACGTTAATATTGGTATGTAGGCTGATTGAGGATTGAAGCAGTCCCCTGCAACTGAGGCCCGAAACTAAGTCTGCTTCTGTTTTTTTTAAAGAAAAAGCATGAAAATGAGAAAGAAAAAAACTTTCTTTACAGTATTTACAGGGAAAAAAAACTTTTTTACGGTATTTTTTACCCTTTCTTATATTGAAAAACAAGAAATAAAAAGACATTTTAAGTGGCAGGGGTTAGATTTGGAGAGGACGAGATCTGGACATTTGATCTGTGGTATAATGAAGTATTAGCTTCCATTACGGCGCAGGCTTAACCTTTTTTCGCGGAGCACCATTGAGAGCTTGCCAGGAGTCATCAATATTTAACAGCTGTTGCTATTATGACATTTTTTATGGGTTAATGTGCCTTGCCGGCTTGCACGCAAGGCCTTGGCTGTTCGCCAGCGGCCTGTCAGGAGGAGAGGGGGGGGAGATTGACAGACGGCTCGCTCGCGTGACAACCAGCCCTTGATCGGCCAGCTCCTCTCTCTCACTCCCTCAGTGTTGGTATTGCTCTCTGCTCTGTGGATTTCCTGTGCCTGCCCAGAGTGAGAGACATATACACACAGAGAGAGGAGCGCTGAGGGAAGGGGTGGGACTAGGCAAAGGAGGTGGCAGCCAGCCAGCCAGACCTCAGCACACACATGCACACCGACACACACTCTCTTCCCTACTCACGCAAGCCTCGTCGGAGGGGAGGGGAGGGGAAGGGGTGGGGGGGGTGGGGTGGGGGGCAGAGCTGCGCAGCCATCGTATGTTCGGCTCCGGAGCACTTCCTCACAAGCTGAACACACAGCTGAGGATCAGCTGCCAAAAGATGGCACCCACACTCCTCAGATGGCTTTGACACGCAGCCAATACATAGAAGAGGACGGGGTTTGGGCGCCGTTCAGGAAAAAAAGAAAAGAAAAGTATCCTGTTATCAGGGTTTTTTTTTCTTTTTTTGTGCATTAGTCCTGAATTATGTCTTTGTAAAAGAAATATATGTGATGTGGTTTGGTCAAAATACCACAGCTAGAGCTAACTTTTTCTCCTTTTTTGAATCGTTTTTACAGTATGAGAAAGAAAATCAGACGACTAAACTAAACATCAAAATGGCATCAAAAACACTGCAGATATGCTGCAGAAAAACACAACTCTTATTCTCAAAGGCTGCTATTTGCCTGCTCTGTTGTTCAACCACAGCCTGCCGGTCTGATCCATCTCCAATCCAGAGTTGTGTTTTACTCGCGCAGATTGTTAAAACATCACACCACGGGATGTACAAGCCACTTGTGAGCAGATTTATACTCCGGGCAAATAATTTCTCCATCATATATTGGTTTCCTTAAAACCTGGCCTGGACATTTGGCTTGTTTTTCTGTGTTTTAAGTTGTTTTTTTTTCATGGCCGATATTGCAGTCGCTCTTATGGGTTAAGGATTTTGATAATGGTTCAGCAGCTTATGGTTTGTTCAGTGACGGATAGAAATGGAATTTCCAACTTCCAGCTTCCAGCTGGGAAAACAGACATGTACTGTACATATGTCACCGTGGATTCCCAAGAAGAATGACGGCTCATAAATGTGAAAGCCTTGCTATGAAACCGATTAGATCATCATCAATGCATAGGTGTCATTTACACAAGTCCAGGTCAAAATGCAGTTATTTTTAATTTGACTTGCAAGTTTTTTTTCCCTTGTGTTTTATCTCTATCATCAGCACGATAAAAGCACGATAAAGTGATAAAGTGGGACACAGTCCTTCTTTCTCTTCTCTTTTCTTCTCATAAAAAGCCCATTGCTTCTTGTTTTTTCCCCTCTTTCTCTCTCTCTGTTGCTCTCTGATGTTGTTGCTGTCAGCTGTTCTCTGTAATAAAGGAGGAAGTGGGTTTAGAGAAGGAAAAAGAGACAAACAGCCCCCAGACTCTGTTGTACACACCAGTGTTTAAACCTCTCCACTGTACTCACCTCACCCCCTAGGGGCTGGATATGTGATTAACAATTGCACAAAAGGGAGAAATTTAGCACCTTTCCTTGCATTAAAAAACATGAAAGGAATTAAATCGAAGTCTAGAGTGAGTTTTATCTTTGATTGAGAAAATGAAATCCCATTATGGCGGGTGGTCTCGATATTTTGAGCGCTTAGTAGAAGTGGAAAGAAAGAAAACTAGACACTTCCAACCTCACCCTTTGGCAGTGTCTGCATCCCACTACTTGTCACTTTTTACTTAACACCCTGTCCTCTCACAGAGCACATAAACGCCTCACCATTACCTACTTTGTTTTCCTTTTTGGACCAGACTCGAAGAAAAATCGAGGCAAAGAAAAGCAAAGCAGAAGACATGAACGTCCATGAATAAAGCCCATATTGTTGGCGGAGGAAGTGCCGGTGCCGATAATTAATCATCCCGTATGTTTGTCTTTCCTGACGCCGCATCCTCTCCAAAAAGCTGCCGTAAGAGAGAAAACAAAAATACACCGACCGTCGAAGGAGGAAAATAAAAGTGGTTATTAGATTCATTTCCCCTTTTGCAATGGTTTCCACTGGCCGGGCGATGCTGTGGTGATTGAACGTTGTGTTTTCTTTTTTTGGTGTGTGTCTGTGTGTGGCTGTCTGAGGCGGTTTGTTTTGCACGTGCTCTCACTCACTGGAGGTGATGACAAAACACTTAGCGTAAGTACCGGCTTTCAGAGTTCATGAAACTGCCTGTCGGAGCTCTCATCAGCAGTTACCTTGATTGCCGGCCATAAGCAAATGTTTTTGCGCGTAATAGAAAATCATTTCAAATAAAAATAAGCACATTATATTTGCATGCTTTGGAGTGGATTTTCATTGCAAAAATAAGCTGGAAATTGCCCCGTGATGCAAAGCTGAACAGAGAATGGGTAGAGAGGAGGAAAAGATGGTCAGGAGATGGTCAAAGGGTGGGGATGGGAGGCCTTATGGAGGTTTTACAGTATCGATGGGGCCTGTCTCCACAAAGAAGCTCGGATCTTTGTGCGCGTGCGTCCTGGCGTTGCGTGACTAATCTGCTCATGCTACTGAGAGTGATGAAGCGCAGGACTGATCTCCGACGGCACCCCCAGAAGAGAAACACGCAAAACGCCTCCAACACGCGACGCACACGTCATCGGGGGAAGCGTGTCACAATGCAATACACAGCCATGGGAGGGCTACACACTCTGTCTCTGTGGGGGGAGTGTGAGGTATTTGAAGGCAGAAGGAGCACGCCGCGTGTCATAGCTGATGGTTTGTGACAGTGGTAGTATGTTGACGATACTCATAATAAGAGAATAAGAGAAAAGGGCAGCGCTGTCATTTTTTGTTCACACAAAAGTCTCCCATGAGCTGAACGAGTTTTGGTTAATCAAGCATGTAAATGAGCATTTACAGATTATTTTTGCTGCATTAATGCCCCCGCAGGACGACACCTGGCTTACATCACTCTCTGACTTTTAGACTGAACGATGGCTCGTCGCTTGGTGTTTTAGAAATACATAAGTCCCATATGCCAACACATATTCTTCTCTCTTTTTCGCAGCCAATCAAGAGAAAACCTCCAGGAAGCACATCATCAGCAATGCATCCTCCAACCCCGAACCCAGGAAAGACGGCCCTCCACTGGGCAACGCCGTCAGTGAAAGCAGCCTCCTCTTGGAAGTAAGAAACAACACAACAAATGTGTCTTTTAGTGCGTATTTCTGTGTAATTTCTCCAAGAAACGCTGTCTGTTTGCAAACAATCTAAAATGTATACTTTGTGTGACTGTAAAACCTTGACCACAGCCCTCGGCAGATGGAAACTCGGGCCCTGGGCGGCTAACGTCTTGCTGTCGGGGACAGCTTTGTTTTTGTTGTGCAGACAGCATGTTAACTTTCACTGAATGCCTTCAGTGAGAGGATGACACGTTTGAGGCATGGCTAGCATGCTTGGTTGAAAGATATCTTGATCTTGCACTTGTTCGACTCAGTCATACCCTTGATAGCTAAAACCGAGGTCAGAAATGGTTTAAAAAAACAAACACCTGCTATACCAAAGACCACTGCAGAGACGGTGGTCTTTGGTATACCATCACCAGGAGCAAAACACTAGCATGTGCATTCCAGTTTTGCTGTTTTTTACAGGACAACAAGCTTTCAAACGATAACACCTCCAATGGAGCCTCTAAAACTGGCTAAATAGAACCAGCCATAATGGCAGGATAGAATCATTGATGGACCCCTAATAAAATACTGCTTTTTTTGGTTCAATTTTGGTTTTAGTTTAATTTTAAGCCAAGAAGAGAGGCCTCGATTTGCTCACGGTTACATTGTATAGTCGGATCGCGTCCGGGCTCGTTTCTGATGCACGCTCCTCCTTCGCTGGCGTCACCGTCAATGAGGAGCTCTCCAGATTGCACACGCCACTGTAAGGAGATTTGTCAGAGCGAGTTGGCCTTTGGCATGATCTCCCTCGCGGAGCTTTGGTGTTGCGTGACATGCGGGCGAGACAATGGTATCAGGGCCGGCCGGGTCAGTCCACGGGAACCCTCACATGCCGGCGACTCGTGCCTGGGCGACGTGCGTGCGCGCGTGCGTGCGTGCGTGCGTGCGCGCTCGTGCCTGCCTGCCTGACGCGTGGTCATGTGTGAAAGCGCACGGAAGAGAGTGAGAAGATTGCAGCACGCCTGTCAACACTGGTCAGAGCAAACGGCAGATTTGTTTTGCAATCACTTGACTTAAGACCTTTAACGAGATTTCAGGGGCAGATTCATGAAGAGGCCTTTATCTCACTTCCAAAGCTTTACATATATATAAACACATGTACAGATAAACAGATAGATAGATAGATAGATAGATAGATAGATAGATAGATAGATAGA